AGCAATGCTGGCAGCACTCATGCGTCTATTTCCCAAAGACAACCTCTGGATATGATGCTGAGCACGTGCACTCAACTTCTTTGATCGACCATGGCGACGCCTGTTCTAAGTGGAACTTGTCCTGTTAAACCGCTGTATGGTCTTGGGCATCGTGCTACAGCTCAGTGTCAGGGTCTTGGCAATCTGCTTATAGCCTAGGCCATCTTTATGTAGAGCAACCATTCTTTTTTTTCAGATCCTCAGAGAGTTCTTTGCCATGATGTGCCATGCTGAACTTCCTGTGACCAGTATGAGGGAGTGTGAGAGCGATGACACCAAATTTAACACACCTGCACCACATTCACACCTGCAAAAGTCTTGCAGCTGAGTTATGGGACCAGCACGTCATGATTGCACTTTCAGTGTACACCACATGTGCTACTAGAAAACTAGCGCCCAAATGTACAGCACTGTCATTGACTATGTTTACATGCACATCAATATTCTGATATTAATCAGAATTTGGCAATATTCCAGTTAGTATTAAGTCATGCATGTAAACGCCTTATTCAGAAAAGCCATCGAAAGGAGATATACGTGTATGCTCAGTCCGCAAGGAATTGTGGGTGCTAACAGATGTTTAGTTGTAGGGTAGATATTTAGGAAAGGCAACTCCAGCATACTTACAACAAACCTGTATACAGGAATATTGTGATGCCTGTACGCATATAAACACAGTATTTGGAATATGGCTGCAGCCCGGATATTGACCTTAAACAGAATTTGATGTGAATGTAAAGTCATTGAAACATGGTGGAGGATAACTGCTGTAACAACACAGCTCAAAATAAATATGGTATAAATGTGCGAGAGTGACTAAAAAGATTATAAAAAAAAAAGAAGAATTTTCCTGGTTATACATGACTATCACTGCTATATGTATAATTTTCTATAAATCTGTAGGTTGCACCTTCATGATATCTTTTGTAGATTATAAGTTTATCTAAAATTACCAGTTTATGTTTCCACTTCTCTCATGCGTGAATAAAAAAAATGCAGGTGAAATGAAAACAAAGGAAGTGTGAGCATGCGGGCTCGACTTTTAAAGCCAGTTCACGCTGGACGCATTTTTGAAGCCTCATAGTCTTTTAAAGCAATAGTTCACCCCAAAGTGAAAATGTTTTAAACTACTGGAGTCACATGGATTACTTTTACGCTGCCTTCATGAACTTTTTTACAGCTTTAAAGTTTAGGTTACTTGGACTGTAAATAGAGGGACCTAAATCATGCAGGTTTCATTATAAAACGTCTTCATTTGTGTTCCGAAGACGAATGAGAATCTTATTGGTTTGGAAGGACCTGTTTTAGGTGAACCATCACTGTAACACAAGGTACAAATTACAGAGTGTTATTTCTCAGGACAGTGAGTTAGCGAACACACTTCTATTTACTCTCATTTATGTGCTTTCAAAAATAAATGCAACTGAAAGCCTGCTAGCCAACAGCAGGAAATTGCACCTGACATTATGAGCCAGTGTGTCACACCAGATTAGAGATCTTGAACATATAGAACTAAGCATTTACTGTTTGATTTTTTTTGTTTTTGTTAAATTACCCTTTTAAAGGACACCCAAATTTCTCATGTGGTCTTGATTTATTAAAATGTTCTCAGTCTGATATAGCAATAGTGACCTGAGTGTTTAGAAGAAAGTGAAATGTCAGTTTTCTGGGAGGAAAGGATTGTGCTGTCACCACACCATGATAAGAAAGTACAACACACGAACAGAATGGTGTTACCTTATTAAGTCAGTGATCATGTTTGTGGAGTTTTCCTCTCTAACAGAAGTCTGTTTCAGCTTTAAGCGTACAGAGTGGATCTGGCGCATGTGTGTTGGATTATACAATACAAAAATAGCTTAACTAAATAAAAATGACCAATAAATATACAATTGGCGCAATATCAGCTCTGAGTATGAGCCGATCTGCGGTACTGATACTGACATCCTCTTATTATTGGATCTGATTGTCTGGGTGTATTAGCATAATCTGTGTCTAGGGCTGTGCCATATCGTATCGTCCATGATATAATTTGTCATCCCGCGATATTGACAATGTAGTTAATGATGTGTTTATGCGCAGCAATGTGGACATCTCGCACGCACAAAGAGAACAAGCATGGCGGAAGGAGGAGCTCCAACCACAGACAAGGAAGAAGAATTAATCCCCAAAAAGGAGGCTTCCTCCATTATATTGAAGCGGTTTGGATACAGAAGATCAGATATGAATCAAACATCTGTGATTTTTTTTAAGGTGCGTCAAAAAAGATGCATCAATAAAGTGTGGCAACACATCAAATTTGTTCCACTTCCTCCAGCGAAAATACTGACCCGAATATGAGGAAAGCCAGAAGTCGCCCACACCAATGGTTTTTCCTGGTTGAGAAGGCTCCGCTGTCTTTATACAGTATGAGAGTAAAAATAAATACTATTACTGACACATTTTGTTATTTGAAGTATATTTTTATATTTTTGTATTTATTTCACATTTATGCACATTTTCATGGTACAGTCATACCACTAGTGACTCGTGGCCATAAAGATACTGTTGAATGTTACTATTTTCATATAGCCATTTATATCGTTACTGCAAAAAATACCATGCAATATCGTGATATAGATTTAACTCTAATATTGCCTATTCTTATGTGTCATGCCACTCAATCTACATTTTTTGTAGATTGAGTTGGAAAATGGTTCAAGTCTAGTCCAGTACTCACTCACTCACTCACTCACTTGCAGTAACCGCTTTATCCTGATCAGGGTCGTGGTGGATTCTGAGCCTATCCCAGGAACACTGGCTATGTTTACATATAATCTAATTACTGACCTTATTTTGAACAAGACAATATTGTGGTGGTGTTTACATGATTCGCTTTTAGAATATTCCTTTCATGTTTCCGTTTTACATGTTATAGAACATGGAATGTTTAACGGTACACATCATTATTTCCCCACGCCACGCCATCTGATGTTCCCTCCAGAATTTCAAGCATCAACATACAGTTCGTCTTCGTTATGGTACCATGTACAGTTTTGAGTGTTTTTATATAACACTCCTTAATTCGAATGTCTTAATTCGATTTGTGTTTACTTCGAGAATCACTTTAGTTGGATTAAGGTAATCAATAATTGCTGTTTACATGGTAATTTTTTTTTGCACTTTGGTGAAAAAGTACTAGGTGGAAATTTATCTGTTATAAGGTTCAGTAGTTTAAAAATGGATTATTATACATCAACAGTAAGTTAAAGTTTGCCTAGCTCTTCTTTGCTGCTGTAACACATAGGATTAATGTCTGGCTTAATTTTGGACAACTTTGCTTTAGACCAATTTGAACAATGAACATTTTTAATTAAAGGATTGTGTGACATAGACAGACTATTTATCACAGATGTTTTTCATCCCAAATAAAAAGGGTGATTAAGTTGAGCGTCTAATGTTTGTATTTGCCAGTAAAGCATCAGACTTTATGAATGCTAGGGGCTCTTACTGGTGGAAATACAGCAGCACATTTGAATAATTTTTATTTTTATCTTCATCCTCACAGCTATCATCAGTGTCATTTATCTTTCACTATAGTGCTGTGGAAAAGTATTTTCCCAATCCTATTTTCTTCTGTTTTTTTTGTGTATATCTCCTACTAAATAGTTTTAGATCTTCAAATGCAATAAAACATAAAACAAAGGTAAACTGAGTAAACACACAATACAGTATTTTTTTTTAATTGAAGCCAAAAAAAAGAGAGTTATCAAACACCTATCACCCATGTGAAAAACTAATTGCCCCCTTAAACTTAAAATGTGGTTGTACCACTGTTAGCAGTATTAACTGCAACTAAATTCTTACTGGAGATCAATCTTTCACAGTGTAGTGGTGGAATTTTGGCCCACTCATCTTTGTAGTACTGCTTTAGTGCAGCCACAATGGAGGGTTTTCGACCATGAACTGCCAGTTGGTTCAAGTCAGCACTTTGACTAGGCCACTCCAAAACTTTTATTTAGATTTTTTGAGCCGTTTAGAGCTGGACTTACTTCTATGCTGTGGATCATTGTGAAGCTGCATAATTCACTTTCGCTTGAGTTTCAACTTACTGTCACAACATGGGAACGGAGGCGGAAGCAATTGCAGTTAAGAGCTTTTATTTAGAAGGCAGCATCAGACAGACAAATCCAAAACGTGAAACATTAGCAGTAGTTTTCACCTTGCCACACTTCCTTGAATGACATTTTTGCCCTGTGTCTTTCTGATAGATGCGTCATGAACAGTGACCTTTGTTGATGGAAAAGAAGCCTGTAGTTCCTTAGATGTTGTCCTTGGCTCTTTTGTGACTTCCTGGATGAGTAGTTGCTGTGCTCTTGGAGGAATTCTGCTTTTTTTCCATTTGGAGATAATGACTCTCATTGTGGTTCTTTGGAGTCCCAGAGCCTTTTAAATAGTTTTGTAACCCTTCCAAAACTGATGTAGTTCAATCACCTTCTACCTCATCACTTCTGGAATTTCTTTCATCTTTGGCTTTATACCAACCCTAAACTTTATATTGTTGAAAGTTCTATTTAAGTGTTGCAGTTGCAGGTTTTGCAGTTATCAGGCCTGGTTGCATCTAGTCCAGCTGAACTCCATTATGAATGCAGTTTCTTAGATGTGGGGTCTTAGTAACTATGGGGGCAAATACATTTTCACACAGGCCCGGATGGTATTGTATAACGTTTTTGCATCAACAAATAGCATTATCATTTAAAAACTGTATTTTTTGTTTACTCAGTTTGCCTTTGTTTTATCTTATCAGGATGGGGCATAAATCAGGGTGGGGCAACTGCTTTTTCACAGCACTCTATGTAGTCTATGGTAAGTTATCCTAAACATTTATAGATATCTGTGTACCAGTCAAAATGGAATTTTTGCACATGTTTAAATTGATTTATGAATTAAGACACATTTACATTTTCATTGTTTCGTGTAGGTGGGGCACGGTGGCTTAGTGGTTAGCACGTTTGTCTCACACCTCCGGGGTTGGGTGTTCAAACCCCTCCTGTGTGTGCAGAGTCTACATGTCCTCCCCATGCTTTGGGGGTGTCTTCTGGTAGTGTACACTATATGAAACACCAATTATGATTTTAATCAGGGAATTATTCATCGATAACACTGTCACACTTTGAAAGTAGCCTTCTCTCTCTCTCTCTGCTCTCTCTCTCTCTCTCTCTCTCTCTCTCTCTGACACGCACAGTAAAAAGTATAAATTGTGTTTTGGTGCATGATGACCTCATTGTGTCCCTGCAGTGCACTAGTGCAGCAGTATGTAATGGTGACTGTGCAAATTGAGAACTCTGAATGAGTGTGGGGAAAAATTCCAGAGAGACGTGGGCAGCCTGCAGAGGTCTGAATCAAAGATCCAATCCAACTTGGCCGGAAGAGCAGCTTCTGTAGTGTTCAGGTGTGCAGTGCTAGAGGAGAGTATGGACTTGATTTTAAGGAGCTTATGTAAGCAACAGATGGATGGCGCTGTTTCACTGGCTAAAGAGCAGACTTGCTGGACGTGCATGCATGAATTTATAGCCCTGTGGTTATTCTTTAACTTATTTCAATTGGATGCCTGTCTGATCAGTAGAATGACTCATTAATCTTTGAAAAGCATGAGGACTATGATCTCAAATTGTGAACAGTCAATTTTTATTTATTGATATTTTACAAAGGTATAATTACACAAATGAAACATGCTTGAAATTGTAAGATACAAAGAAAAAGAAAAAAGCTGCAAAGAGAAAATAATGCAGCAGTGTATTTGAGCAGTTGGGTTTTTTTTTCGGTGCTTCTGTTAAAATTCGCTCATTTTAAAGCTTAATAGTTTGTTTTAAAAAGAACTCTCATCAATATTGGTTGATGCCGTTTCTGATAAAGACATGCGGAAAGAGGGGGGGGGGGGAAGTGCAGCAGGATGCTCTTTGTAGAAGCCAGTCTTTCACTGGCTGGTTTTCTGATGTTCACTGGTCCCTGCAACCTCAACCCCCCCTCCTCGTCCAGATGTGTCTTTTCCGAGAATTGCTTCTCTCTCTCTCTCTCTCTCTCTCTCTCTCTCTCTCTCTCTCTCTCTCTCTCTTTCCCAACTCAAGCCAGTGTTTCAGTTACATTATAGTTAGTTGTTCCTCCCCAACTCATTTTTATGAAGTGCAGAAGCATGTACAGAAGCTTCTCTTTGCCAGAAAAAAAAGAAGAAGAAAGGGTGAGAAAGAGGGAGAAAAGGGGGAAAGATGAGTCTGATTGTAGCCCTTGAGTTTCACAAGTGTCAGCATGTCAGTGTCAGGACTGATTCAGTTTGAAATTCTCAGCAGCTCCATAGTGAAATTCCTGCTTTTTAACTGTAAGACACCTTAAGACACACACGTACATACTGCCAGTGGCTCCAGGTTCCCCGCGACCCTTAAAAGGAGTAAGCGGTAGAGGATGGCTGGGTGGACAATAGGGCTGGGCGATATATTCATATAATATCGATATCATGATACATGATTACGTGATACATTTGTCTGACATATTGTTGTTATGGCGATGTATTTTAAAAAAAATCAACAACAAATCATTTTAGTTCTAACAGTCAAACAGATTTTGAAACAATTATCTTCTCTTATATCTTATATGAAGATTAAATAAACAAGTGTTAAAGAAAATCTTGAACTTAATAAATAAAATGTTACAAAATGTATGCAGTGTAAATGTAGAACAATCAAGGCAAACTTCCTGTTAGCATAGTTAGCCTAGCCTCGTATAAAACTTCCACCTTAACACTTGCTTCCGGATAACACTGCGCTGAGGTCCGTGTCTGACGAGTCGCGCTCCTGCTCTGAGGAAACTTGCTGTTTTCCCCAGAGCCGACATTTTAACAGAAAACACAAAAAGCAGCAAAATCTCACATTTCTTCTTTGCCCGCTGTTCAGAGTCACGCACTGTACATGTGCGGAGCACTGCGCATGCGCACTACAAGTCTCTCGCAGCTTGTTTCTCCGTACTTGGTGTTCAGACAAAAATATACCAAGAAAAAAAAAACCTGCCACACTGATGAGCTGACGCATCCCATTTTATTCACAATCTCCTCTTCATGCTCTGAACTCATTTCTGCATGTGTTCGTGTGTTCTGATGTCACAGGGCGATGGCGCAACTAAACCCCACAGATACGTAATTTGTTATTAACTGTTTGCTTGTTACTCAGCACACTCCTTTATCAAGGCATATGATTGGCTATGATCCAGGGATGGCGCATGCTTGAGGGTTGTTCATGCAACCAAACTGCATGTCTGTTTACATTTTATCGAGCGTTATACCAAACATTTTTAACGATAAATGTGTACCATTGATAAATATTGATACCCAATTATCACCCAGCCCTAATTTAAACTTTGTATTTGTAGGCATTAAAGAAAAGTATCATCAAATTCAGTTTAATGTGCTTTTGTTCATTTTACTACTGGTTTGCAGACAGTTAGTTAGCTAACATATATAACATGATGCGCATCGTGTATCGTAGAAAACTATCATGTTATATTTTTATGATCTCGCCCAACCCTACTAAACAATGTCTACATATATCTTAGGAAAAATATATAATTTAGCCCCTTGAAATCTTCTTCAGTTTGTCACTCTGGTTAAATGTTCCTAGTAGGATGCTAGTACCCCCAATTTTTTTTTTTTTTTTTTTTTTAAACTCATCACTTTGTTCTTGTCAGTATCAAGATGCATGCTGGGTGCTGTGGTGACTTCATGAACACTGGATGTATTGCAGTGGGTTAAGCTCGTATGCCACTTCAATGTTGCCAGTTGTGGAGGCTGAATTCTAAAAAAAAACAAACGTACAAACAAAAAAATAAGTATACCACCACACTGTCATTAACTAGTTGCTTCACATCAGCAATCATATGTAATCATCTTTGCAAAGAAATTAAACTGATATTTGAGCAAGAGTCAGAATTTTTATTGAAATCAGAGAGTTGGCATTAAGGTATTAATAATATAAGTAACCTACCGTAATTCTCGGACTATTGAGCGCACCTGAATATAAGCCGCACCCGCTAATTTTAAGAAGAAAAACAATTTTGTATATATATATAGGCCGTACTTTTCTATAAGCCGCAGGTGTCTACGTTGTAACTGTCACGATTCGTGACGTAAACGAAGCAGGACGGATGCAAGTGCAGTTAGGACGAGACCTTTTATTGAAACAGAGGAGAGCAGACTCAAGAGAAACAAGGACCATGACCAACTTAATGAACTAAGTTAACTAAACCAACTAACCTAAACATTAATTATGACATGAAACAAAGACTCTTTATCTATACTCTATAAACCACTTCTACATCTATATTCTAAACTAAGTCTATACAACTCTAAGCTATACTATCCGCTACCAGGCTATAAGCTATGCTATAAGCTACTAGGCTACAGGCTAAGCTATAAGCTGTGCTATAAGCTAATTAGCCTTGACATGAACTCAGACATGGGCTATGGCTATGGCTAGGAAACATGAACAAGAACTAAGACACATGGCATGAACAAAGACTCTAACTATACTCGCTATCTACTTCTAACTCTATATCTAATTACCCGCATTGTGTGTGTCATGGCTCCCGGTATATATACACACCAGCCAAACTGCTAACAGCTGCGGGCAATACCAAAACACACGTGACTCGACAACACATGACAAGACGGGGCGGAGACATGACGTCAACCAATCTGCATTTCTTCGTGTGTTTTCCCTGATGAGGGGGTGTGCATGAAGGGCAAAACGACTGATCTGAAGAATGTAGTGTGAGTGCGTTAGATTTAATTCAAACAGTTTTATTGGTCCACTGTGACCTGTTGGGTAATTTCATTTGTCCGATGTGACGAGGCTAAATGTTTTGGCGGCATGAAACTATAAATTACCCGCATCATTGTTTAAGCCGCAGTGTTCAAAGCGTGTGAAAAAAGTAATGGCTTATGTTCCGGAAATTACGGTAGTAACTAATTATGACCAATGATCTACCAACCACAATCGTTTATTTTATAACACAAACAGCTGAATGAGAAATGACATAAGTTTTATTCAATTACTTTTTTTAATCGAGTTGAATGGAAATATTCTCAAAACGTACGCGTTACTATTTTTACTACACGTTTACCTCTGTTTGCACCCTGCTGAAAAAGAAATTTAATCAAATTGATGTAATTCGTTTGTGTGGGTTTGTGCCATAGAGTTCCGTCACAGTGAATTGAACATAAATTAAATAGGCACAAAATATTACAAGTTCGATACAGTGTTTTATTTATTTATTTATGTATGTATGTATTTATTTATTCATTTTTAGCCGGGCTGCCAACCAAACTGAGATCGTAGTGGTTTGTTTGCCATGCCAGCTGGAGGATGGTCTCTCTCTCCTCCCCCTCTCTCTCTCTCTCTGCCTCTCACTCGCATTGTTTGGCTTAAAAACCAAACGAGCAACATGCAAATCATTTGATCAGGATTTTCCCTCTGGCCTGTTGGCATCACATCAAGAAGATACGTGGCTGTCGTTATTGTTTGTATGTTTCTCGGGAACATTTCTGCATTCCACAGAAAGATGTGAAAGGACAGGTCCGCGTCTTTGCTGCTCACTTGCCCTTGCAGTGAAACTGGCACGCATGTCCATGTGAGATGGCAAGACCCTTATCACTTGCTTACCTTGTAGAGCAGGGTTTTATTGTCTATATTTAGAGTGGATGATTAATTTTCTCATGCACTATATGAGGATAAATTCAGTCTTTGTATCAGGAAGTAGGTACACACACACACACACACACACACACACAGCTACTGTAACATTATCAAAGCAGGCCTATTTGCTTTCTAAATGTGATACCCAAGGCACATATTGCTGCAATTTCCTGCTCAAAATGGCCTTCTGTCAACACAGTGCAGCGATAAGTGAGGCTGTGAAGGTTCAAATGCATCAAGAAACAATGTCTTAATGATGCAGATTCTTTTCTGGTGTGATTCACCAACCACATGCAGTTTTGCAGACTGACCAATCAT